CATAAGCATAAACATTTCGACTTTAAATAAATACGTGAATTACAGCATATCTGCCACAACATCGGGCGCAGCGCGGACCTCCTCCGCAGTTAGCTGAAAGGCTCTCCCGCGAGCCCTCGGGGCGTCGACCTTCGCCGGTCGAGTCTTAGTAGTCCTGGCAGTAGGTGTAGATCCCTGACGAAGCTGAGGGCACTCGGCCTTCCGATGGCCTGTCTGGTTGCAATGAAAGCAAACCATAAACCCCTTAGGGCAATCCCTGGCGATGTGTCCCTCCTTGCCACACTTGTAGCAAACACCAGCTCGACACGCCCATCGTGACCCTTGCCGCACTTTCCGCAAGTGCGGCCCTTCGGACCTCCCGTCCTCGAATCGGCGGACTTGGTCCGCTTGGCTGCCGGCTGAGACTGAGCCGGCCGCCGGTCCACCTGCTGAGACTCGGCCTCCTCCCTGGCCTGGGTCTCCAACTCGATCTCGCGCTTCCTGGCATTCGCCTGAAGCTCAGCAAAAGTATGATAGGTGGAGTTCGACACAAACTCCCGGATATCCCTCCTCAAAACACCCAAGTACCGGCTCATCCGCGACTGCTCTGTGGACACCAGCTCGGGGCAGAACATCGCCCTCTCATGAAACTTCCGCGTGACCACCGCAACCGAATCAGTACCCTGCTTAAGGGTTAAGAACTCCTGAACCAATCGTTCCCTCTCCACTGGGGGAACGTACTCGTCCCTGAACATGGCAGTAAACCTCTCCCATGTCACTGCTGTAATCTCCGCCAAAGTGAAGTTCGCCGTCACGAACTTCCACCAATCCTTCGCTCCCAGACGGAGCTGGTTCAAAGCGAACCGTACCCTCAGGTGCTCCGGGCATGAACAAGTGTAGAAGCACCCCTCAATATCAGCGATCCACCTCATCGCAGCAATCGGATCCTGCGTCCCATCGAACTCAGGTGGTTTCGTGTTGCTGAATTCCCGGAATAGCAACGAGTCACCCCCCTGTGGCCTGGCAGCGGCCACAGCTGCGGTAGCGGCAGCGGCTGCAGCTTCAGTCAGTGCGGCGTACCGCTCCTCAAACGTCTCCATCAGGGTGGTCTTAATAGACCCAAACATCTCCGGGATCTCAGCCCGGATCGCTGCAGCTACCTCCTCCTGAATCAGCTGACGAATCTCCTCGTCACTCACACCGCTCGAACTCGCCCCGTGGCGTGGTCTAACCATGATGTCTCTGAAATACAACATAAAACTATCAGAGACTCCATCAAGTACAATCGCACTCGATAACGCAACCCTACTCAGTCTCCGATATCCAGGGATTCTTACTTGGGTCTCCCACCAACCCGGTGTCTTCGGTAGTACGGGCCCAATACTACCGACCACACCGTATCAGCATTCGTCCCAAATCTTCCTCCCCAAACCCCGAATAGT